GTACAAATTTGTAAGGATTTCCGTGAGTTGTTTGTAGGATTTATCTGTGGGTTTCTCGGGTAAACAGAGGTCTTTCAGAACTTTATAGGCCTTTTTTCCTATAAYTGAAATTGTAGTAGCCACTTTTTGTCTATCTGCTTCTTTCTTGGTGTCTTCGTTGGCATCGGCGGCCACTTTTCCAATGTTATTGGCAAATAGATATGAGTCGAGTCGCTCGCTGTAATCAGAGAAGTCATCTCCATCAAAAGGTTCAATTGTGCCCACCTGTGCTTGAGCCATCTTTAAAAACGGAAAGTTTTGTAGTACTTTATCCTCGTCGCCAGTTGTTAAATACTAAAACTCTGGTCGTGAACTAGAACTTTATTACAGCAATCTTACAAGACAAACATGGCCGTTCCCTCTCGAGCACATGGTTCCGCGCGCATGCGCGTAACGACTGACGTGAGCATAATGAATATATAACAATTCCAGACCAGGAGAGATAATTTGAACAATAATTAAAAAGGTTAGCAGCGTTAGCTTCATATGATACGCCGTTTTAAAGATTTTATATTACCACCTTGTTTTTTGTAGATGCCAACTTGCCAAGGCCACATGCCTCGTTGCGAAATTTTTCCTCCGACCATCAAACCGCGTTTTTTAAATAACCTATCTCCACAATGGTCATCTATGAAACAAACGTGTATTTCATTTCTTTCCWATATCTCTTGTGTGGAATGGGGATCAATCTTTCCTTAATGTGTTGTGCGTGTGTGTGATTTGGGGGTGGGGATGTTTGAAGTGGCTTGGTCTGGTGATGACAAAACTAAGAAATCTATAATGGCATCCGAGAGAGTTTGAAAAGTGCTTCACATTACTTATAAAATTTGTGAATTAAGTCGCACTGAGTCGTCTATCCTGTCCATCCTCGTTCTTTTAAGCAAACTATGATGATGGTAGAGTGCTGACCTCAGATCACGATCACACCAAATGCAGTGGTATCAAATGTACACAGTTGGCAAAATGTCAGCTACTTACATTGCAGTGAGAAAGCATTTAATGCGATGTTTACTATCAGTATAATTACCAACAAGTAGATAGCTTGCTTCATTATCTAAATAAACAATCAATGAAATCGTATCAAATCAACCGGCAAGTATGCAATCATTCATTATATCGTAATAAAAGTAATATTACGAAGTTTGTGCATGAACTGACTCGTACGAATTCTGAAATATTGCGCGATTTGACTGCTTTCCAACCAGAAATTGACTGTTCAAAAACGTTGATGCTAGAGGTACTATACGTTTACTAGAGCCTGACATAGAARCGGCAGACCTTACATGCAATATTAATATTGATCACTGGTCTTCCTGTRTAAGTAGAAACTAATAAAAACACAAGATACTCTAATCATTGCATGTTTTGAATTGAAAGAGAAGACCAGATCRCACTTATCTGTTATTAGTAGACATATGGTACGTTTGTATAAATATTTTCTTCTTCATTCCATAATTCATTATACTCACCGACAAACAAATCCACTCAAATCCGACCAATTTTACAAATAATGGTCCGTCTACTATGTAAGCAGAAGTGATCTACGGAACGTG